GACTTCAACTCCCAGAATCCCCCAGCCAGCAAGCTGGGGGGAATTCTGGGAGTTGAAGTCCACCCATCTTAAAGATGCAAGGTTGAGAAACATCGCTTTAGAGAATCCGCCAAGGAATGCACTTGATTCCTTCACTTGGTGCCGAAGGACCCCAAATTCCCAATTTATTTATTTCCTAATTGTTGAACCGAGGATATAAATCCATCTGTCTGCATTCTGTCTGCCAAGGTGTAAAAAAAGAGGTGGGCTTTGTTTGCACAATTGCAACTCGATGTGGACACTCTGCACTTCATTCTCGGCATCCCACACTCGGCTGGTTTTGATTGATTGATTGATTGATTGATTGATTGGGTAAATTTATATATAGCCACCCCGCTCGCACACATGACTCCGAGCAGCGTGCACAGTTAAAAACCCAAAACCATGCCTCAAAATAACCAAAAAGATAACAATAATTTCCTAAATCATAGAATCGGGGTAAATTTGATCCTATTCACCAGAATATTTATGAAACTGTAGAATCCTAGAGTTCACAGTGTATCTCGAGATCATCTAGTCCAGCCCCTTCTCAGTGCAGGGACCCACATCAAGGCATCTCAGCGCGTGGTTGTCTGGCCTGTCCCTTGAGGTCATCTAGTCCAGCCCTTTTTTGGTGCAGGGATCCAGATCAAGTGCATGGTTGTCTGGCCTGCACTTGCACCCCTCCAATGAAGGGGAGCCCAGCACCTCCCTGCATCGTCCGCTCCCCTATCAAAGCGCTCTTCCTGTTAGGAACTTTTTCTAATGAGCATTGTCGTTATTGCAAAAAAACGGCCATCGTTTGCTTCCTGGGTGGCAGGACGTTGTGGCCCTGGCGCTCCTCTTCTGACCTTCTTCCATGTCTTTTAATCCAGTTCCCGCAACTGTATTCAAGTTTTATATCCCTAGGAATTTGGTACAGGGGGGGCATTTTTAACACACAGTGCAATTCCCTCTTGATTGCTTCTGATCTATTCAGACAAGCTTTATTCTCCAACCGCTTCCCTCTAATCAGGAAATCAGGCATATCTACTCGCTATATTACATACTATATTTAGCTTAGCGATGGAATTAATCTGTTTCCTAGCTTGGCACACTATTTTGAACCCTAAACTAAGCCATCAGGCTGGGTTGACACAATACACTTGCTCGTAAAAGAACCAGCCGAGATGAATGCATGGCTGGCTGGGGAATTCTGGGAGTCGAAATCCACCCATCTTCAAGTTGCTGAGGTTGAGAAACCCTGCTCTGAGCCATTGCTGTCTATATGGACCGATGCTTCCAAATTGCGAGAAGGTTTTTCAAAGCCAGGTTTTAGAACAAAGCGACACCAGTTTCTATATGTAATTTTCACCCCGTCCGCTATAAAGTCCAATCAGTTGCATTAGGAAATTGATCTGAACATGGAAGGATTTATCAACAGGGCTGAAAATGAAAGCTAAAACTTAAAAACAAGCTATTTCTTCTGCTGTGAGGCATTCCAAGCAAAATATGAAAGATGGGACTTTTTTTTCCCCAAGAGGAAAAGCTGTTATTTATGCCCCTGTAAATTATTGCACCCTGTATGCAAAGTGTAATTATGGCCCTTTGGTGATATGGAAATAGAAAAGTACAGGCTCCTTAGTCCACTGGTTAAAGTAGGAGATGAATGAACTTAAAAATACAATCTTGGCTAGGTGACAGCTATAGCAGTCATGGGGAAGCTGGTTCGTTTAGCAGCCCGGGATTTTCAGCCTTGCACTCCAAAGCCAGCGAGCCAGATCCACGTCGCCCTGTTTCTGCTTGGTGGCCTCTGCTGCAAATGGAGACGGCGACTTCTTTGCGGAAATGGATCGCCTCGGAAATACGCCCAGGGGGATCTCGTCCAACCCCTGCCCAGGACAGGAATCCAAATTAAAGCATCGATGCTCAGCCTGCATTTTCCCACCGTCCCCACCTGGATGATCCTCTGCCTCTGTTATAAAGGTAAGGAAACTGCCAAGGAGAAACAAGTCCCTTGGAGAGTTATAAAGCGTTTATGGCAAAAGTTAGGGTGTATAGTGGAACACGCGTCTTTGCTTGCAGTAACTGGTTGCAGCCACGGCGAGGCGTCCAGAGAATCGTGCAGGCTGGGCACGGGTTGGAATAGATGATCTCCAAGATCCCTTCCAACTCTTCCAGTCTGTGCTTTACTTTGGAGTCCTGCCTGCCATGAGCAAGGATTTGACTGGGGGTCTCCAAGGTCTGCCCCAACCTCTCCGTTCTACTGCCAGGCACCAGTTAAAATGTTATTTTGTGCTGGCTGGGGAATTCTGGGAGTTGAAGTCCACCCATCCTGAAGTTGCCAAGGTTGAGAAACACTGCACTAGATAAATGAATCTGCCTTAATGCAACCAACGCCCCCCCCCCCCCGGGTGGGTGAGCAGAGAAAAGGGAGACAGAAAACGGCGTCGCTTCAGTTAACCTTCTCCTCTCCTTAGTTCACTTGCAAATCAATAATTAAACCTGGACTGATTCACTCACAGAGCCCACCAGACATTCTCCAGCCCTCTTCCTCTCTGAAATCTCTCTGAAAATCTCTCACCCCCACCAATCGCTTCTAGGAAGGGAATTTTAGATGACTGCTGTTTTCTGGGGTTGCCCACGGACGATGCTCTTCAAAGTCTCGGTCGAATCACTGCTGCAGCGAGGAGAAGGTGGTTGTTCAGGTGGAAGTGGAGCATTGTCCTTCGGCTTTTGAAAGGGACGGACGGATTACACAATTGACCCGGGCGGCCCCGAAATGCTCAGGAGCTGCGGGAGGGGTCTCTCCCTTCTCTGCTATCCCAGGAGACCGATGCGCAGAAAGCCACTGATCTCTTTGCTTCTGAATTACATCAAATGCACAAGATCGAAGCTTGCGGAGCTGGGCATGTGCCTGGACAGAAAATGGGAATGGGCCAACATTGAGTCCTGGAAGCTGGAACTGGCTGGTCCTCTGCAGCAGTGTGACAGAGCTGCACCTCAGGTTATAAAGCTGTGTGGAGATCATGGGGGGGGGGGGGTCGGTGAAATTCCCCCTACAGAAGGGGCTCCTTG